TAATTTTGCAGAGGAAGGAAAACCGACCTAAGAGCACAGAAGAGAACTAAAACTCTGAATCGACAGTTGAGAGTCGAGCGCTCTCACTCGCAATCCGTGCTTCCCTGAAGTTCCGTGGAATGTTTAAATGATTTTGCATTGTGTTTTAAAATACTCTATTTGATATTTTTATTAACACAGATTCGATATCTTCAATATGAAGACACAGCTTGTGTTTGTCTTTATACTGTTCCTTCTCAAGCACAAAGTCACCTACGCTACGATGTGGCCGACTCAAGGATATTCAGAGATTGACGTGTACTTGCAAGGATTCACTCTTGAATCGTCCAAGGTGGAAACAATCTTTGAATGTTACAGAAAGTGTGAGGACAACATAAATTGTGCAAGCATCAACATGAACCTGACGAACAAGACATGTGAACTGAAGTACTCTACCAAGACCAGACACCCAGAGAAGATTGTTAGCCAACAAAACACCATCTACATGAAGATACGGGATGCTCTCGGGTTTTCTCCTCATAACCCAATATTATCCTGTAAATGGTTCAAGAACATTGAAAACCAGGCAAAGTCAGGCGTTTACTGGATGAAATTCAATGAGCCATCCTCTGCGCCATTCCAAGTGTTCTGTGACATGACCACAGATGGAGGAGGCTGGACCCTTGTCTACAGCTATACATTTACTCAGTACAGTGCGTTTCATTCACCTGCGAACGCAGTCACTTTAATGCCACACTGGCCTGTGGACACGTCTTCTTATACATGGGTGCCACAGTCAACGACAACCCCGCTCAGTGAGTCTTCTCGCACGGCCATGGATTTTTCTCTGTGGAAAAAGATTGGTAACGAGTTCCTTCTGAAGCCTAATATCACTAACTGGGTAGCCTGTGTAGAAGGAACCGGAAGTCTTGTGAACTTTGTGGCAGGAAGTCTGACGTGTAGAGTTGTCAAGGCCATTACACCAACCTGTACCACTGTCGCTCCAAACTCGTTCATAATTCTTCAATCTTGTGGGCCAGTTTTATCCTTGAATACTAATTATTACATTGTATTAAATGGAAGAACCGACCGTTTCTGGCCTGTCCATGACCCTTGTAGCACCACATCTCCTGGTAATCACCTGACCAATGTAGCCAATCCTGGTGAAGCGATTTACATTCGCTGAGAGAGGAATACATCATATTGATACCTTCCACATGGGGATTATGCAAAGACAGAAGACTCAACATATAAGCCTACTCGGTTAACTCTATAACTGTAATGTATGCACGGTCTAAAACATATCATCCGGGACTTGTTGAGTCGACAATAATAAAGAATAACTGAGTGAAAAATTAATATTTGAATAACTTAAAATGCACCTGTCAACTGTCTAGCTATGAGGCTATTCTAGCTCATCATTACGAAAAATATTGAAGAAAAATAGCCTACTATTATACTATCTAATGTTACGACACGATAAACGATAGCTCTGATTTGATCATGACGGTGCTATGGCAAGGCATTCTCATAATAGCGATTATTTCAGGTGCTGTGATTGTTGGTTGAGTTGATGTAATGAAATCAGTAGCGTAACAGCCTTCACAGTCCTACGAAATCAAGTTTACATCACATCACTGCATATTTAAGGCCTGGACGAAAACACGATATTTATTCCTTGTATACTCAGGACTATATTTCAATAATTTACGCCATTGAACTAAAAAAAGTTTAAAAAAAAAAAATGACCCTTTAAATTGTTACAAAAGTTATAAATAAAGTTTTAAGTAGATGTGGATGTGGGGTACCCGATTGGTTTTTAACTACTAATTTTTGATCAATTGTTAATTAAAATAAAATTCACTTCACAACTGATTTGTTTCGATTTGTACGTGAAAAAACCGAGCTGACTCCTTGCTTTTTGAATTTCTGAATCGCAATGACTGCAGTTTATGGTTCTTGTAATGTTGAAGCCTTTCAAATACTTTGGCTAGCTCCTAACTATGGATATTATTTAACTTCAAAAGCTAACCGAAATATTCGATCGTTTCTTAAACGGCATAATAAACACTATGTCTGCCGTATGCGCTAATCCTCCCACATGGTCCGCATGGGGTGTATCCAAGACCAGCCCTCCCATCCCTAGCATAAGGTGCTATCTGGGGGGTCATAACTACTTGCATGATCAGGTCTGCAGTTAATTGGGAGAACCTACGTAGCACTCAGTTGATGTAATGTATTCAGAAAATCTGAATATGGCCCCGTCCATACGTATCCGGATATTTTTGAATCCGCAACTCTTTTGTTGTGGATTTTAAAAAAATTCGCGTCCATTTCAAAAAGTCTACCTACTTTACCGAGGCTAAGCCTGTACGAATTAATGAGTCTGTGGTATAACACCGACGCAGCTCACACTAGTTTTTAGCTAGTTATATCTTAGTCTGTGGTATTATTAAACGCTATACTACCGGCGGTATTACAAAACCAAACTTTTTTGAATATATACGAACAATGCCGTGGAAATAAACAACAGAAGTTTCTAATGGTTCAGACATTGTTTGCTTGGCATTTCTTTCTCCTGCCAATAGGTTTTATTTTCATTTATGGTTTTTTCTGAATGATGTTTAAGCTTCTATGTTTTTGTGGAAGATGTTGAGAGATTTTGTAAAGAGACAACGAACCCCATGCACATCCTTAAGTTTTTGTAGACTAAAATTCTCCAAACTCTTCAGAATTGGATTCAAACTCTAGCAGACACTCAACTACAGAAATGAAACAACACCCTGTAGAAATAACAGTGAATGTCGCGGCAGCTATTTTCAGTTAACTATAATTGTGTAAATGCTAACCCATGCAGTGAGTTATAGTAGTACACTTGCAATTACGAAATCCTATCAGTTATATTTTTTGGAATTTTATCCAATCGTGTGTCAAAGAACCTTCTAGTTTTGATAAACTAACTGAGTTATTAGATTTGATTCTGATTAAACCAACTTTAGCCTACCTTTGTTTCCAACAACCGACAGAACAAACAATTGGAATCCTATATCCTATAAGGTAAGTTCGCTTGTATTGGAATCTATACACTAAGTAAGAAAAGCATTCCCCCCCCAATTTGTGATGAAGACGCAGTTAACTTTTCCAAAAAGAAAAGAAATTAACTACAATTGATTTGCAAATTTGCTGGAAACTTCTGAAAAACTTAACTAAGTTAAACAGCATGTATAATTTTCAGGGTACGTTAAGTCGTAGTTTGCTTTTACAATTCAGGCTTAAAGAATTAAACTCCACAATTGATTTGGAAATGTTCTATAAACGTTTTTAATAACTAAGTTAATAGAAGCAATTGCCGGTTTCAGTAAAATTGGCCCGCGGTCTAGAATATATGTTTGAAGAAAAGTCAAGATTTAGACTTCTACAGAACTTGATAGCCAGAATTACTTTTTTCTTAAATTACAGCAAATTTCTAAATCGATTATAGAGTTATATATGTTGAAATTTTTTAAAAAAGGAAGTGAAATGAATATATTCCCTCAAAAACTAGTTGCAAATTTTAACTTTCTTGAGAAATTTTAAAAAAATGAAAGACGATTTTCTTCCATTCCTAAAAAACTTTGATTTGTCAATGAAAAATTTCGATTCAATTAAATGAAATTTTAAGTTGTGAGCACCACTTTAAGAATTTAATTTTTCTTTACCGGAAATTTCGAGTTAAAATTACACGAAATTTTGAATTGCTAAAACAAAGTTGACGGCAAATTTTCAAATAGCTGGATTGTAAATTTTCTTTCTTTTTCTTTTCGGGCAAAGTAAGCAACCGGTTCTAAAACAACTACTCCTGATTTCTTCTTGCATTTCAACTACCTTGCAATATTCATTTCATATTGGAGCTAGATAGCCTACGTCCATATCAAAGCTGTTTCCAAAAGCGATCGAGCACTTTTACCGCCAAAGCTAATTAATACCATATTTGGAAAAAAATTAACAATTTATTCTCAGAGATGCTAGCTTTGATCAAAATAGAAAATTTTGAATTTTGACTGAAATAAGTTAACTATGTTAAATGTTTTCGAGTTGTAATAACCAGTTACTTTGCAGGAGTCGAGCGGCCGGAAACACGATGAAGAAACAGCTGCTGTTTGTCTTTATACTGATCCTTCTCTGGATCCTTCTCAAGCACAAAGTCATCTACGCCACAATGTGGCCGACCCAAAGATATTCTGAGCTAAACATGTACTTGCAAGGATTCACTCTTGAATCGTCCAAGGTAGAAACAATCTTTGCATGTTACAGAAAGTGTGAGGACAACATAAATTGTGCAAGCATCAACATGAACCTGACGAACAAGACATGTGAACTGAAGTACTCTACCAAGACTAGACACCCAGAGAAGATTGTTAGTCAACAAAACACCATCTACATGGAGATTCGGGATGATAACGCTGCTCCAGGTACTTGGCCAGATAGACCAATCACATCTTGTAAGAAGCTCAAGGAGGATGAAAGCCAGGCAAAGTCAGGTGTTTATTGGATGAAGTTCAATGAGCCATCCTCTGCGCCATTCCAAGTGTTTTGTGACATGACCACCGATGGAGGAGGCTGGACCCTTGTCTACAGCTATCGAATTATCCAATTAACCAACTTTAATGCCTACAGTAACGCAGTCACTCCAATACCAAACTGGCCTGTTGATACGTCTTCTAATACATGGGTGCCAGTCAACAACAACTCCACTCAGTGAGTCTTCTCACACGGCCATGGATTTTGCTCTGTGGAAGAAGATTGGTAACGAGATCCTTCTAAAGCCTAACATCACTAACTGGGTAGCCTGTGTGGAAGGAACCGGAAGTCTTGTGAACTGGGTGGAAGGAAGTCTGACGTGTAGAGTTGTCAAGGCCATTACACCAACCTGTACCACTGTCGCCCAAAACTCGTTAAGAATTCTTCCACATTGTGGGCCAGCTTTATTCTTGAATACAAATCATTACATTTATTTAGAAGGAAGAACCGACGGTTGCTGGCCTGTCCATGATCCTTGTGGTACCACATCGCGTAGTAGTGAACTGACCAATGTAGCCAATCCTGGTGGAGTGATTTACATTCGCTGAAAGAGGTGTCAGTGTCATTATTTTTGTCACATTTCTACAAAATATCATTGAACACGATATTCATATTACTGAACAGTACACTCACAACATACGCGCCATTAAAGTAAAAAATAGTAACAGTAAAGAATTTGTATTACACCTTTTGCTGTTCATTAACCGCAAAGGAATATTCATTAAAGCGAAGAAGCATTGTCATTAGAGCGAACAGG